CAATTTGTCAACTTTATTTTGAATTCTGATCACAGAATCAGATTCATAGAAATGCATTGCTGGAAAGGACTTTGAAAGGTATGCTAGTTCAGCCCCCTGTACTGAGGCGGGACCAAGTATACCTAGACCATCTCTGATAGGTGTTTGTCTAATGTTCTAAAAAACCTCCAATGACAGCAAATCCTCCACCTTCCTTGGAAGCTTATACGGGTAGTTAAGCTCTGGAATAGTTGAGAAGTTTTCCTAATATCTAACCTAAATCTATCTTGCTGCAGATTAAGCCCATTACTTTTGTCCTACTCCAGTGGACACTGAGAACAACTGATCACTGTCCTTTTTCAAACACCTCCAATCCTGTCCTCCAAAGTGCTTGCAACCCCTTCCAGTTGGTGTCATCTGCAAATTTTATAAGCACACTCTCCACTCCGTTATCTCAGTTGTTAATGAAAATGTTGAATGGTACCAATACCAGAGACAAGGCAGACCCCAGTGGGACACCACTAAATATGTTCTCCCAGTTTGACAATGAACCACTAACAACTACTTCTTGAGTATGGTTTTCCAATCAGCTGTGTACCCACCTTATCATAAATTTAATTGAGACCACATTTCCCTAGTTTGCTTATGAGACTGTCATGTGGGGCTGTGTCAAAAGCTCTACTAAAAATCAAAATACATTGTATCTACTGTTCCCCTGTTCACTAGGCCAGTTTCTCCTATTATCTTTAATAAATAATTTGCATTTCTATCAAGCTTTACATAAAGTGCTTTAAAATATTAGTAAACTAAGCATGAGATATTTAAGTATTATGGGAAAACTGAGGCACAGAGAAGCTACTTGATCTATTCACGGTCTTGCAATAAGACTGAACCAGAAATGCAATCCAAGTCTACTAACTAGAAAGCCATCTTTCCCTTATTTGTCACTTTTCCCAGTTGATTTCCCGTGTCTCTTTTTCAACACCTGATTTCCAGCATTGTTTCATTTCTGTTGAACTATTTCAACCTCTCCTCTTTTTTAATAAGGCTTTTCCAGATTACCCATTCCCTGTTTATTCCTCCCTTTCTGAAGCCACACACGACAGTGACCCTCCCTCCAGAGCCTGTCAACCTAAGCTGTCACCAAAACACCATTTTTTTAACCCCTAAATCAACCCCTCCTTGTGTCTGCCCTTGTCATCTTCTCCATTCAGTTTGCTCCCTCCTGTTTCATTGAGGCTGGTATATTGAAACCTGCACACAATACTTCCAAAGGAGGAGCAAAGTCAAAGAGAAAAGGATCATATCAGTTTCACTTTATTACAAGTTGCTGGAAAAATGCAACATGCAGCAGCACAGACCTGCTCCTTTTCAGTATTCTTATGAAAATACAGTTTCAAAATATTAAGGAGGGAGGGAAGGGAAGTCACAGGCTTCCTGCTATTACGTGCCGAATTTAAACCCTTACTACATCACAAGGGGCCCCATTGTTGGCAGTCTTGTGGAGGCACAAAGGATTTGGTTGGGATGGTGTCTGAACTATCTTTAAAGATGGCTTCTCCTAGTCAAGGATGAGGCACAGCGAAAAGACAGCATGGGGAAGCTTGTACTCCCAGTGCCCATGCTGTAACTGCTGTGTGAATAAGTCAGTCCACAGTGTTACCAATTCAATACCTTCTATAAGAATTGCAAGCACTTACGCTAATGCAAAGCACTTCTGAAAATCCCACCCTAGATATATTTCTATTATAGACCATGTCCTGCTTCTCCAATATCACAGAAGTTGTTCATCCATACCACAACGCTTTATCTCCCTCTCATAAGGAAGACAGACATTTCTTTCTGTTCACAACCAGGATATAATTTATAAGACCTATGTTTGATTTTCTGAAGCAGTCTTTGCTGTAGTTACCCAGCTAAAAAACTTTAACCACCCGCAAATTCACCTCAATGCAGATAACAATTAAACATCTTAATTACTTGGAAAACCCTCGCCGTTCCTCAAATAACTAATTAGCTAAAACAATCAAGAATTTGAATCCCACAAGGACAATTTTATAGTTTGGTATGTAAGTATAAATAAAAAGATTTCACCTAGTTAAATACTACACATAGGACTCAAGGCCAAGTTTAGCTGAGTGCTCAGATACAATTGCTTTTGATATAAAATAGTGGTTTTCAACTTTTTTTAATTTGCGGACCCCTAAAACATTGCAAATGGAGGTGCATACCCTTTTGGAAACCTTCGACAGCCTGTGGACCCTCACGGGTCTGTGGACCACAGATTGAAACCCACAAATATAGAATAAAGGCAGAATACAAAAATTGCTGCAGTAAACTAGCACTGGAAGTTTAATTAGCAGAATTTAAAAATATCTGACCAACAAAGAAAAAAACTTGCACCACCAAGATACCTACTTCATTTATTTTGAAAGCACATTACGTGTCTTTTACAAGATGTACTTTCTTTCTGCTTGTAACACACATGATCACAGAGGTGACCAAATCAAGGACATCCAAGCTTTCAACAGTACAACCAACCTAGATTTCTTTTAAGCCACACAGTTAACCTGCATCACTGCTCAAGATTTAAAACCACATCCATGGTAGACAGCTGAAGGCATTCCAAAGGATAATTTACACTAATGAATAACTCCTCACTTACAGTGTATTACAGCATTTACAAACAACCTACCATAAGAATGTAAGCCAAACTGGGTGAGACCAAAGGTCCACCCAACCCAATATCCTGTCTCCAATGGTGGCCAGTACCAGAGCTTCAGGGGGAATGTATAAAACAGGGCAGTTGGAGCCATCCAGCCCATCTTCTACTCCAGGCTGCCCGAGGTTTAGGGTTGCACCAAGCATGGGATTGCATCCCTGGCCATCTTGGCTAATAGCCATTGATGGACCTGACATCCACAAACTTATCCAGTTCTTTTTTGAACCCAGTTATACTTTTGATCACCACTACATCCCAAGGCAATGAGTTCCACAAGTCATTCATCACATCCATTTATTTTGTTGTTGTATATGTGACTGAGTTTACCCTTGACTTTTTCTAATGGGATTAGTATGATAAACCAAAAAAAAAAAAAGTTTAATTTAACAGACCAGAAAACTAAATCCCTACTACATATATATTGAAAATCTGGCAGGGAATCAAGTGGGTAGGCTGCAGGGGGATGGGCAAGAAAGAAGGAACGGTGCAGGGAGCAATTGACTCACTTTAAGAAAAATACAAATAGTGTAAAATCTGCAAGGTCCTCACCATTCTTAAACATACCCTTCAAATGTTAGGGGAAAGGTAAGTTATGATTTATTTATTCTTCGGGGAGCAATTAAAAAACTTAGATGCCACATGACATGCTTTTCCCACATTCTGTATGCTTCTCTACTGTGGTTTCCATGTAACTAAACGTCCCAACACCTATTAGTGATAGAGGGAATGTGTCACTCATTACTCACGAGCAACATCACATCTGCAACCATTAATATCTTTACTAGATTTAATGTGTCGGTTTTATGGGCCAATTTCTGAAAGATACCCATTAACGTCAATGGGAGTTACAAATGCTTAGCATTGCAGATGCTTAGCAATTCTCAGCATCTGATCCTATGTCAGGGTCAAATCCTACAACCCTCCACCCACCTGACTAGCCAAATTAAATTAATAAAGATTACTCGCATGAGTAAGATTTTGCAGGATTGGGCCCTAGACAGAGAATGTTGTCTTGGGCAAAGAGAAAATATTCTTTACAAATAGCAGCTAAAAGGTCATAGTGTAGAATGTTATTTATTGTCAGACAGTCTAAACTTTCTTTCAAGAGAATGCGTACCTTATGCTGAACTAGTGTTTGGGGATTACGAGGAAGTATTGTCCAGGTTCTTTGGCTGGATGTTTAGCTCAGACATTCTTCCTGAAGAATTATCTACTGAAAAACTAACTAATCCTCTGAGACAGACGATTCACATACTAAATGATGATGTCTGAAAGTCAAAATATCACACAATTGAAAAATATATTATCTTTGAAAAAAGTATAATGTGGATACAAAACAATCTAACAAAAAGATGCTGGGCTTTGAAATTCCAATGCCCAGAAATCAAGTTGAAATTGTTGTAATTCTAAGAGCACACACCTTTCTCAAGCAGAGATTGCCTGTAAGCATAAACAAAAGCCAGGAGGAATCGTTATCTCCCCTCAATAGAATTAAGTGAAAAATTAGAAAACAAAAACCTTTTGACCAAAAAATACGGTTCCAGGGGTTTTTTGTCCAGTTAATGGTACAGAAGTCTAATTAATTATTAATTATTATTATTATCAACAACTTGCTATAGCGTTGAAATAAAGCTGAAAAGTTGTTTTAACTATATGTAAAGTTAAAAACTAAACTATTGATAAGAATGACTTTTTATGCCTAACACTTTCCCCATCAATACTGCCAAATAGTATAACAGATATAAATAACTGTAAACACAGAAAGCTTTAAGCAACATTATTTAATACACCATCACTGTAGTCAAACAGCAAACACAGGAAGAGAAAAGAAATTCCAACCCAGAATCCCAATACCTCACAAGCCAGAGTATATAATAAAGATATTGAAACATAAGCTCCATGTTCGAAATAAAGAAAACTGCATTTGTTTTGTACTTTCAAATCTAACGAGAAAATGTTTACAGCAGCATGAATCAATGTGCTACAGCAGAGGTAAATCAGTGTCAGCCATGTTATGAAAGAAACTGCAGTGGAAAAAAAATCTTAGTCTTAATCAAGTCTGGTACACAGAGCCTTGATAAAATCATTGTATAGCAATGTCACTTATTTATTACTAGTGTCCGACTTCTTCCAGATAAACTGCACATAAGAACATTGATTATTCCCATCTAAACATACACAACTAAATTCTCAAAGTCATAACATTAAGAAGGAAATATACTGGATAAACACCAAAGCAACCACTATTGAATAGTACACACATCCTAAGGTATGGAGTGAAAAAGATGAATGCACTTACTCAGCATTAAATCCATTCACATGTAAGATCCTCATCTGTTTGACTATTGTGCTTTTACCAGATTCACCAGCACCTAGAAAATGAAAGTAAATCAGTTTCAGTGATGCAGGGGCACATAAGAATCTTCTCTTCAGGAGCAAAATCAAAAAAATTTGGATTACTCAGTGCGAGAGTGAAAAGTGAAAGAAAAAAGTAACTGCCATAGGAAACTGCAGACATGGCTAAAAATAAATGCCCAGTTCCAGTCATGTGTCAGAGCTCAAACTTGGAAGATTTTACCGACCATTATTTCTAATGTCAATGTTAAAAGCAGGCTGGTGGTTTGGAGGAAGAGACAGGGGCAACTTTAAGGTTTTTTATTTTTATTTTGGGAGGGCGGGGGGAGAAACTGATAAGTTTGAATCTTCTCATTTGGTCACCACTTTCTGGTGGAGAGAAAGGTCAAGTCAATGAAACCCATGTGATGCAAAAGCATTTTTTAGTTAGATCCTCAAAATCTTTGAGCCTTAAATGTAGTGCCTGTCATACAAACACTGAAACTTAACCACTCAATATGCAAGATACGGACATTATCATCTGAATAAGGAAAGCAGTCCCTCTGACCCCTCCACCCACACATTTGCAGAAAAGCTCCCTCCTCCTACCCCAGTCTGCATCCTGTAAGCAGCCTCCCCTATTCTCTCCACATGCTCCAAACCTGTCTCTCTCTCTCACACACACACCCCCTCTATGCGTTGCAGAGAAAGCCCTCTCCAGTCTGCATCCTGTAAGCAGCCTTTCTTGTCTTCTCCCACCCCCCCACACACCCTGAACTAAAGAGAAAGCCCCTTCACTTTAGTCAGCTTCCTATAAGCAGTACCTTTCTGGTTTTCCCCCACCCTACACACTGAGTCTAGGCTGTGGAGAAAGCCCCCTTTCTCCCATTCCAGTCTGCACATTGTACCCACTCCTCCTGCACACTAAAGGGCTTCAGCAACAAAATCCAATTGAGCCATCCACACGTTCAGATCGGTGGCTCTCTGTGCAAAGCAGACAGACATTTTTTGCAGAGTAAACCCCCTTGTCCTAGTGAATTATACACATAGATGCTCTCTCTAGCATCCTTTTGCTGCTTGTTTTCCCCTGCCATGAGCCTGGGTCTCACTAACAGAAAGCGCACACAGACCTCTGCAGGATGGGTTCATGGAAGCACAGTTTGTGTTTCTAGGATGCCAGGCCTTCCCTAGCACACACTGACAGCACAAGCCTCCATTTTGAGTCTCACGTTCAAAACTGCATTTTAGTAGTTATATTTCAAAATTTGTTTTCTGACAGAGACACTCACCTCTGTCTTCCGCCATAAAAGCTGTTTCCCCCCCCCCAGCCAAGTCCTTAATAGCCCTGCCCTCCTTCCAAACAAGCCTCTTTAGACATTTTGCTGCCCAGACGCCAAAACCTTATGCCTCTTTTCTCCCCTTTTCACCAGTTAAGAATAGTTTCTGCCCCTACCTTTGCATGTAGGCAACCACCATATCCCCCCACCAAAAAAAGCAACCTTGGCATCTGATAAGACAGGGAGCAAAACCAATCAAAAACATGAACATTCCCAGTTAAAGCAGAAACTGGGTCATCTCCACAACTGGAAATAACCTGTGTATTGCAGTGAATGTTGCATCTGCTGAGATACTTACACACAGAATAATTAATAACAGAATTTCAACTCTAATGCGGAATTTCCTAATGATTGCCTCAGACAGATTTTAACTTCCAGTTTCTTAATTTCCTTTTCTAGTTTTATTTTGTTATGAGTAAAAACAGAGTATAAAATGTGTAATTGACATGCCATGGAATTAGAGGCTTCTCTGGACCAGACAGAACATCAGTGGACCAAGTTGAAGCTTTATATATTGCTCTGAATGAGCCCGTTCCTAAAATGTGTAGCTCCTTATGGAGCAACAGGGACATATAAAGGCACCAGTAGTGTGAACGCTTACATACGTGCCTAACTTTACCATCATCGGTAGTCCTACTGATTTCAGGGAGACTACTCATGATAGTAAAGATAACTATATGTATGTTTACAGGACTAGAGCCTAAGAACAGTATTACCGATCCATCAAATGGAATGTATTTAGGTTCTCTGTATTATTCTTAATATTTTCTCACATACTGTTATTATAATGCTTTGCATTTAAGAGTTTCTCATTTATAGATTTCAAGTGCTCTACAGAAGTGGATAAGCATAAGACAATAATACACAGATACAGGCATTTTACCATTAAGGTATGTGTGTTATGGATTTCACATAAATGCATGACAGCTACTGTTTTAAATGTGGGTCATTCACATTAAAAAAAAAACAAACAAAAAACAAACAAAAAAACCCATGAAGAGGCCTTATACCTATTATAAAGAGCCTACAAGTTTTCATGTATAGATATCTGAGCCATTTTCCCGTTACCAAAGACAAAAAAAGCACATCACAACCAAATGTCTTCTATTTTTTGAAATCTTGTGGCTTACTTACACAAACAAACTAATTTGACAGGATTTTCCTGTGTGAATATTTATAAAACAGTCTTTTGAATCTCTGGCTGAAATTTCCCCCAGACTGAAAGCCAAATTGTACTAAAAAGAGGGGTCTTCTATGGGAATGCTGATAGACCCTTAAGCATAGGGGATGCTACAATAATTCTTCTGGTTATTTCTCCATTTATGCCAAACCTCTTTGCTTCTTCTAAATCGGCACTTTAAAGATTTTACTCTAAGTCTGCACCCCACCAAAAAAAAATAAATTAAGATGTCATTTCATAACAGAACTGACTCAGTTTTACCTAGGGCAACCTCTCCTCCACACAAAAAGAAACCCTTAATACGTTCGCGAGCAATACACTCTACAGTGACTGAATTTGCTTACATCTCATTTTAAAAACATTTCAGAACAATATGCCTGCCCCAATACAATAAAAATATTAATTAAAAAATGTAATTTTGGGGTCTTCACCACCCTTTAAACCTCAACCTGTATTTCTAATTGTATCTGCTCAAAAATACCACACATGCAAATAACCCAGTCATTATATATATATATAAAGGACCAAGCCATAAATGCTCCCCAGAACACATAATATTTAACTAGATTTGCAACAAAAAAAATAATAATAATAATGGTAACTGACATGACAGAGGAGAGAGTATATGTCCATGACCCTTTGAAAAACAGCCTGTTTCCCACCACAACCCTGACATTACACTTCACTGCCTCCCCACCACAGATATTCACACACACCCAATCCCTTTCCTTGTTCCCGTCAAGGATTAACATCCCTTCTCCAACCACTTCCCCATCCTATTTTCCAACACAGTATCCCCCTCATTAAAAATCCATTTCCCCATCTGTCTCCTCCACAGCCTGGCTTGTAAGGTGCATTTCCCTGTTTCCATCCCCAATTTCAAGAGGGGGAATTCCTCCAGATCTCCCTTCCCCACCCACACCCCAACAAGCCCATTTAATTCCTCCTTCCCCAACAGTAAGTGGGATCAGTGAGTTGCCCTGTAGACATGCTAATCCCTGAATAACTCCTCCCCCTCCCTTAAGCACCCCACTCCCTGTGCCCCTGAACCCTATTCCCTCCCTCACCTATTAGGAAGAGCCCGAGTAGGCCCTGAAGATTTACTAGCTCTTTCTGAACAGCTGTTTCCCCCCACATCTCCCTCTAGGCTCAAACCCTGATCTTTCCCAGTCCCCAACCCCCTTACCAGACCTATTTATCGTCCCATAACTCCCTCTCTCAGAGGCAACTGTTTTCCCGCACCTCGCACCCCTTTACACAGGGTCAGGTCCTCAGGAGCCAATGAGCATCCCTACAGAGCCGCTTGGACCGCGTGCTTTCCTTTCCCCAAGGCCTTCTCCAGTCCCTCATTACCCAGCAAGAGCCCTCATCTGCTTCTCCCCCTTTCGGAAACCTCCACCCAGACCACCCTTCTTACGGACTCCCCCAATAGATGCTGCTTTTGACCTGTTTCTCCCAGATCCCCCAAGCCTTCCTCTTTACTCAATGAAACTGCGGGGCCCTAGAGACCTACTTCCCACCAGCCCCCTTCCTCCTGGCCTAGGGCCACCCCACCTTCCCCAGGGAGAGTAGCCTAGACCTTCCTCCCAACCACTCTCTCCCCTAACTCCGAAGAGACGAGCCAATGAGTGGGCCCTACACACCTACTTCCCCCGAGCCAGGCCTCTGTCTCCTCACCCACCCACCCCCAGGAAGAGCAGCTGGTGCGTGGCCCTACAGTCCTGCTCCCCCAGGCCCCTGTCTCCCCAGGGCCCCCCTGGAAGAGCAGCCGGTGCTTGGCCCTACAGACCTGCTCCCCCAGGCCCCTGTCTCCCCAGGGCCCCCCTGGAAGAGCAGCTGGTGCTTGGCCCTACAGACCTGCTCCCCCATACCCCCGTCTCCCCAGGGCCCCCCTCACCCAGCAAGAGCAGCCGGGTGCACGGCCCTACACACCCCAGGCCCCGGTCTCCCCAGCAAGAGCAGCCGGGTGCTTGGCCCTACAGACCTGCTCCCCCAGGCCCCTGTCTCCCCAGGGCCCCCCTGGAAGAGCAGCCGGTGCTTGGCCCTACAGACCTGCTCCCCCAGGCCCCCGTCTCCCCAGGCCCCCCTCACCCAGCAAGAGCAGCCGGGTGCGCGGCCCTACAGACCTGCTCCCCCAGACCCCCCCTGGAAGAGCAGCCGGTGCTTGGCCCTACAGACCCCAGCCCTGTCTCCCCAGCCCCCTCACCCAGCAAGAGCAGCCGGGTGCGCGGCCCTACAGATCTGCTCCCCCAGGCCCCCGTCTCCCCAGGGCCCCCCTCACCCACCAAGAGCAGCCGGGTGCGCGGCCCTACAGATCTGCTCCCCCAGACCCCCATCTCCCCAGACCCCCCCTGGAAGAGCAGCCGGTGCTTGGCCCTACAGACCCCAGCCCTGTCTCCCCAGCCCCCTCACCCAGCAAGAGCAGCCGGGTGCGCGGCCCTACAGACCTGCTCCCCCAGACCCCCCATCTCCCCAGACCCCCCCTGGAAGAGCAGCCGGTGCTTGGCCCTACAGACCCCAGCCCTGTCTCCCCAGGGCCCCCCTCACCCAGCAAGAGCAGCCGGGTGCGCGGCCCTACAGATCTGCTCCCCCAGGCCCCCGTCTCCCCAGGGCCCCCCTCACCCAGCAAGAGCAGCCGGGTGCGTGGCCCCACACACCCCAGGCCCCGGTCTCCCCAGCAAGAGCAGCCGGGTGCGTGGCCCTACAGACCTGCTCCCCCCCGGGCCCCCCTTACCCAGTAAGAGCAGCCGGTGCGTGGCCCTATAGACCTGCTTGTCCTTCTGCAGCTGCTTCTCGATTTTCTTGTTGGCTTCTCGCTGCGCCTTCTCCTCGTTGCGCTGATCCTCGGTCTTGCTGTTCCCTAAACAGCCCATCTTGGGGAGGGGGCGGCAGGGGGGACCAGGGGAAGGGGGCAGGAGGCGGCTGGGGCTGCTGGGGGGAGGGAGGGAAGGGAGGGAGACACTCTCCCGGGCTCCCTTCTTCCTCCTCCTCCTCCTCCTCCCCCCCCTTTACTCGCTGCTGTGGCTGCCGCTGCCCAGAGACATGGAGAGAGCGGAGCCAGCCAAGGGGGGGCCGATGGCGATGACTTTGCTGCTGCTGCTCAGCCGGGCCTCCTCCCCAGCAGCTGCTGCTTCTTCTCACCCTCCCTCCCAGACCCGCTCCGATCCCCTCAATGCACCTTTCCCGAGAGAAAAAAAAATAGGGGATCTCCGCACTCCTGGCTGGATCACCGGTTAGTTCGGATTAAAAAAAAAAATCCCCCCCCCCGTTTCCCCTACACACACACACAAGCAAACACACAACAAATCCAGTTGCAGGTCCACTCCCCCCCCCACAAAAATAATTCTCCTTAGATCCAAGGCACAGGCTCCAGACGGAGAAACCTCCCCAAATCCTGATCACAGAGAATCTAGAAATGTCTCTTCCTTGCCTCTCCCCCCTCTCCAAAGGGCTGAAGCACCCAAAGGGGTCAATCCAACCCCCAGCTCCCTGCTGGATAAGAAGTCCCTTTTCCTCTCTGAGCAGTGTGGGTTTTCCTCTTCTGCTGCCGCTGCTTCTTCCTCCCTAATGGTGGTTTTTCCAGTCCAAGGCCCCCCCTTTTTTTTTCCTTGCTGCTGCTGCTGCTGCTTTTTCACATTAGGTTTCCAGGCTGCTGAATCCTTTGGCTTTTCCAGCAAACAGAGGGAGTGGGGGGCAGAGAGGGGGAGGGGGGGGGGGAGAGAGAAGTAAAAGCCGGTTTGGTCTCCCCCCCAAGCAAAACTGGCCCCCCACTAGCGGGTTTTCCCCCTAATTTGTTTTTTCTCCTCTCTCTTTTGCATTTCTCTTAGAGAGAGAGGGAGATATTTATTGAGATCTATAGAGAAGGGAGAGAGAGATGGGGTGGGGCAAGCAAGCTCACACACTGAACCATGGGAACTGAACCATTCACATGATACCCAAACGTCAGGAGTTGCTGACTAGAGGCGCCCTCTTCAAACAAACGCCCAGGGAGGCACCAGGTCCCAGAGGCGAGCGTGCTCGCTCTTATGCTCCCTTTTAAATGCTCCCCATTTGTTCTTCACGTTCAGAAGTTTGCTTATTTAGTGGCTTGGCTACAGCAACAGTGCAAACACGTAGAACAGTGGAATTTCCCTTGACAGGGCATCCTTGTTTGTCTGACATGCAAAACCAAGGTCCTGAGCACTTGTGTTCAGTAAATCCCACAGCAGTTTTGATATGTGAGCTTTGCTGTCTGGTCCTAGTAATACCTTTCTACCTCCTAAAAATGCCTCTGCCAGTTTCAGAAAAAATATTTTACTTTTCTTCCTCCATCCTGATTTCTTTATAGTGGTGTAGTGTAAACAGCTACTTCATTTCCCCACTAAACTCACCATATTAGGGGTAGGTTTCAGAGTAGCAGCCCTGTTAGTCTGTATTCACGAGAAGAAAAGGAGGACTTGTGGCACCTTAGAGACTAACAAATTTATTTGAGCGTAAGCCTTTGTGAGCTATAGCTCGACTTCATTGGATGCATTCAGTGCCTGTCCTGCAAACACCACAACATAAGGCTTCCTGCACCCTACAGGCCCACTGAAGTCATTGTAGTCTGATTAGTTTATCCAATTTAGGACTAAATTATCTTAATTTTATTCATTAGTATCATGTTTTAATGTTCTAGGCCTGATGCTGCAAACAATTTGGTACATGCATAACTTGAATGACTTTAAATTTAACAATCTCATGGAAAGACTATTCATGCTTAAAGTTAAGTATGTGCCTAAATGTTTGCAGGATTGGAGGTTTAACTATTTGATTAAAGTTTAAAAACTTTATTCCATACACATTTTAACTAAGCCGTTCATGGGGAAACAGGTGTCACTTTATAAACAAAATACTTATTAGAGAACATCTTTGTATTTAAATGTACATTTATACATGTCATTGGTTGATGAATTTTAAGCCTTTTCTAAACTACATAAGGCCCATCCTGAAAACACTTACGCATATGACCTTTACTTGATGTAGGTGGTTCTATGTGAGTAAAGTTGTACGTTTGCCACAACTGTCCCATCTACTTTGATCCTGGAAGGAGCTCAGCATGGGCAGAATCATCTCCCTGCAGGCCTGGGACCAGAGGCAGATGTGTAATTTTAAGCATGCAAATAATTCCACAAAGTAAATGGGACTACTCAGACGGTTAAAGTAAGATTGCTGGATTAAAGCTTTAGACTACATTGCACTACATCCTGTCTCTTGTGTAAATGCCTTTTGCTAGCTAACCATTTCTGGTTTATTTTTAAAAGATTTAAAAAATAAAAATACCCTACCCAAAGCAGGCAGTAACAAGCATAAACAAGTGAACTGCACTTGCAGTTGAAAAATAAAGGTTAGTGCCTTAGTGTTTCTTCTTGTAAAATACTAGTTCCCCAACATTTAGCAAAAAGGGATTTGTTTCTCTAAGGCTCTCATCCTGTAATCTGCAGATGGAAGGAGGCTGTGCAGAGCCTCACAGACTTCAGTGGGGCTTCATGGAGGTATAGGTATGTTTATGCAGAGACACTTACAAGGTCAATACCAAAGAGTTATTTTAAAAAAAACAAACCTGTCACTATAGCCTCAATCCTGCAAACACCTGCACATCTATTAACTTTATGTTTTCATGTGGGTGAAGTTAATTCCTGAAGGGTTTGCAGGACCAGGGGCCATTTTTGTAAAAACCCTTAAATTTGTGCTCCCTCTGTTGACTTCCTATCAACAAAAACTAGTCTCAAAGTTGTGCTAATACTGTTGGTCAGGCTGGTACAGAAGCAAAGATATTTGGCATGATGTTCTGGCATTCCGTCAGCTGAAGTTGTCAAACAAAATGACTGTGTTGATATCCACTCCATTCAAAACACCAGAGGAAAAGAAAAGATCAGGGACTGCCTAATGGAAAAGAACAAGATGGGCAGGGAAAAAATATTTTAAGCTTTTAAAAATATTAAAGCACACAATGAAGATATAGATAAGATTACCTGATAGGTAAAATATCAGTTTGGGGTAGATGCTAACTAAGATTCTATATTAGTTATCACTGTATTCTCTCTGAGATTAGTGAAAATGTTTGTCCCTCATTCCAAGTAAATTTATTTATCCTCCTTTGGAAAATTAAATTCTGCATAAGAAAATTCCAGTGCGCATCATCCAGTTAAAATACTGGCAACCACCTGCAGTAACATAGTTACCTGAATACAATAAGCATCCAGGAAGTCATCTTGAGCTATTAGACTGCACCTATTCTGTTGTCCTTACTTACAGGGACGTGGATCTGAAAGCAATCATAGGTCTGGAACAGAATACCCACCCAGCCTAAGGCTTTGGAGATTTTTCATGGCTTTCAGTGATTCTTTGGTGTCAATCATGAAAGTGACAGGGAATCTGGGCCCTGATCCATAATCCTTTGAAGACAATGGGAAGACTCCTAGCGACTTTACCAGGCATTGGGTCAGGCCCAAAGAAGACCTCAAAGATTTGTCTTGAATCCCCAATGCCCAGAATCAATTGAAGCAGAAGATATATAATTTTCCTGGTTTTTATTAATTATTATTATTATTTGAAATGTATTTGGAGTCAATTTATTTTCAAACAAATGCCAGTGATATAATAGGGTATTTGCAGTGGGGTGGGGGCCATAGGAGCCAGAGTAAAATTTACATTGAAAATAAAGTAAAAACTAGGACTGTCAAGAGATTTTAAAAAATTAATTGCGATTAATCGCACTGTTAATAATATAATACCATTTATTTAAATATTTTGGATGGTTTCTACATTTTCAAATATATTGATTTCAGTTACAACACAGAATACAAAGTGTACAGTGTTCACTTTATATTTATTTTTGATTACAAATATTTGCACTGAAAAAACAAAAGAAATAGTATATTTCAATTCACCTAATACAAGTACTGTAGTGCAATCTCTTTATAATGAAAGTTGAATTTACAAATGTATAAAAAATAACTGCGTTCAAAAATAAAACAACGTAAAACTTTAGAACCTATAAGTCCTCTCAGTCTTACTTCAGCCAATCACTCAAACAAATAAGTTTGATTACAATTTGCAGGAGATAATGCTGCTCACATCTTGTTTACAATGTCACCTGAAAGTGAGAACAGGTGTTCACATGGCACTGTTGTAGTCGACATTGCAAGGTATTTATATGCCAGATGCGCTAAAGATTCATACGTCCCTTCATGCTTCAATCACCATTCCAGAAGACATGCGTCCATGCTGATGATGGGTTCTGCTCGATAATGATCCAAAGCAGAGCGGACTGACGCATGTTCATTTTCATCATCTGAGTCAGATGCCACCGGCAGAAGGTTGATTTTCTTTTTTGGTGGTTTGGGTTCTGTAGTTTTCGCATCCAAGTGTTGCTCTTTTAAGACATCTGAAAGCATACTCCACACCTCATCCCTGTCAGATTTTGGAAGGCACTTCAGATTCTTAAGCCGTGGGTCGAGTGCTGTAGCTATCGAGTGCTGTATCTCACATTGGTACCTTCTTTGCGTTTAGTCAAATCTGCAATGAAAGTGTTCTTAAAACGAACATGTGTTGGGTCATCATCCGAGACTGCTATAACATGAAATATACGGCAGAATGCAGGTAAAACAAAACAGGAGACATACAATTCTCCCTCAAGGAGTTCAGTCACAAATTTAATTAAGGTTTCAGAGTAGCAGCCATGTTAGTCTGTATCTGCAAAAAGAAAACGAGTACTTGTGGCACCCTAGAGCATTTTTTTTTAATGAGTATTATCAGCATGAAAGCATGTCCTCTGGAATGGTGGCCAAAGCATGAATGGGCATATGAATGTTTAGCATATCTGGCATGTAAATACCTTGCAACGCCAGCTACAAAAATGCCGTGCAAACGCCTGTTCTCACTTTCAGGTGACATTGTAAATAAGAAGCAGGCAGCAGTATATCCTGTAAATGTAAACAAACTTTTGTCTTAGCAATTGGCTGAACAAGAAGTAGGACTGAGTGGACTTGTAGACTCTAAAGTTTTACATTGTTTTGTTTTTAATGCAGTTATGTAACAATAAAAAACTCTACATTTGTAAGTTACACTTTCACGATAAAGAGATTGCACTATAGTAGTTGTATGAGGTGAATTGAAAAATACTATTTCTTTTGTTTATAATTTTTACAGTGCAAAAATTTGTAATACAAATAATAATACAAAGTGAGCACTGTACACTTTGTATTCTGTG